AAATGCTGGCAGAGCTCAAAATTGGCACCAAGCAGCAAATATCTCCACCCAGCCAACCAAACCACTGGAGCTGGAGTTGAAATGGGGGAGGTCTCTTAGGGCACATGCAAAAGTGGAGCTTTTCCTGGTTCTGGTTTCTACTTGGAAGCCAAAGGCCCCACAGCCCACCCACCCCTGTTTCCCAATGCCTTCCTTTAATCTTTGCAATTAGACATTCTGACCTAGGTGACTGACTTTATCTGAAAAGTTGGGCTGATTGTTGTGGTTCACTTTTGGATTCTTTTGGAGGAGATGGTTCCATGTCTCTGGGTCCTGCAAGGAGATGGCCCCCTAGCTGCTGATAGAAAGGTCCTGAGCTGCCACCTGACTACTATAATAGGTCTTTCTCTGGTGGTGGCCTTATGACCTTTTTGTCTTACTTCTGTCATAACCCTCCTTACCCTGGCATCACTTTGACCTTGAGCCGTGGTTACTGATATGGCCTTAAATGGTCTTCTTACCTTTAGTCTTTCCCCCTCCATTCTCCTCACTGAATTTTTTTTTTCCTGTAACTCAAATCTGATGATTTCAGCATCTTGTTTAATACTTAGCTGTGGCTCCCTGTTTTCTAGATACAGTCTAAACCTGTTAACCTGGTACACCTGGGCCTTCGTGATCTGGGACCTGCTTTCTGTTTGGATGATCTTGAGGCTTGCATGATCTTGAGGCAGTTACATTAACATCTTTGCAGTGGCAGCTGAGCTTATTTATTATATGTAGCCCAACTGAACTACTTTCAGGAGATGGCTATTTTCTCTTATTTTTGGGGTGTTTTTGCAAATGCTGTTCCTTTTGCTTCCTTGCCATGCATAGTCGATAGCATTGCTTCTCAAACTTGAGTGTGCTTTGAATCACCTGAAGGGCTTGTTAAACCACAGCTCCTGGGTTCTGCTCCTACACTTTATGATTCACTAGGTATGGGATAGGATCTGGGGTTCTGTATTTCTAAGAAGTCCCCAGGTTATGCTGACGTAGGTGGTCTGGGAGCCACACTTTGAGTAGCAGAGCTTTAGCATACCCTGTTACCATAGCATGTACTTCACTGTTTTGAGATTGCCTGTACTTCTCCCTAAGTGGACTCTAGGCTTCTTGGGAAAAAGAACCTGTTTGCCCATCAGTGTATTCACTAGTGACTAGTATCTGGGATATCGTCAGTGTTCAATAAGTATCTGTGGATGAATGAATGAGTGGGCCACTGTTTATGCAGCAGAGTTCAAATCATTTTGCTTTTTATAGTGGATCAGCTTTCTTGTGGAATATTTCAGTCTAAGGGTATGTGGAATGTGATCTACCCCTTCTGCATGCCCTTACCTGTCCCTGAAATACTCGCTTAATGGATACAGAACTTGAGAACTCCCCATAGCCATTAGACCACTGGTGAACTACAGGAAGGCAGTTAGGGACTTCTTTTGATAGATCTCAAACTTGAGATTATGATGAACTGGACTCATAAGTTTTCTTCCATTAAACGCAACGTGGAGTAGCATTTCTACATCTCTTTCAATATAAGAAATACCCCTGAACTTATTAGAGCCTGTCAAAAAGTGGACACCTGTGATGTGCCTTCCAGGGACTGTATCTGGAGTAAAGGGGTATACGATAGGGTTCTAGCCCTCCAGGTTGAAACTTGAGTGACGAAAACCAAGAACAATAAATGTTCAAAACTGTAATACTGTAAGTATAAGGATTCATATTTTTATGATGCTTAAATCACTTGGTTTGTTAAGTCAGTTAAAAACATTCTGTGGGAAGCAGGGAGAAAGAGAAGGGGATAGGTTAACATGTTCAGTGGAAGCCGCTAGAAGGGCTGCACGATGTACAGGTTACACAATGTCCACATGCCCTCTTTCGTTGTTGTAAGACCTTTTTGGTTTTAGGAAACGAGCTGTTCTTGCCAGCTTCAGTTTTCTGAGAAAGGAGGAGGGGTTAGGACTCATATTGGAATCCAAGAAATGAGATACAAAGAGTGGCCCCGTGGTCTTGAGGAACAGGAGTTCTTGGTTGTTCATGCTTGGTCTTCCACGAACAGGCCCTTGCCCTAGTTGTCTTGAGTTGTCTTTGCTGTCCACTGACTTGGCTGCCAACAACCGTCCCCGACCCCTACTCTTTCTAGTACTTCTCTACCTCACAGGTTCTGCCTGTGCTTGGCCCTGGCTCCCTCAGGGCTTTAAGTCCTATGTGGCCCTTATTCTACATCACGGCCCTTACACCTACAGAAGGCGCAGCTGTTCAGGGTCTGCTCTCCCTGCTTCTTGGTCTTCATATTTCTTATCCACATCCCAAAGAATGAGTACCTAGCCCACGCAGGTCTTACTAGAGGAGAGCTTTCTATGCTGGAGCATCCCACAGGCCAGCAGCTGTGTGCCCCTGCACTTGGGCTCAGGTGAGACCCAGGGATGAAGTGGTCATGCAGTACACTGTGGCTGCCAGGCCCAGCATTACAGCAGAGCTGGGGGATTGCAGTGCCCTTTGCAGTGGCTGTGGGCCTGGCAAGTACATCAGAGAACCTTTGAGACAGAGGGACTTAATGGGTAGGATCTGAGCAGGCTGAGTCAGAGGAAGGGTATCCTAGGACATAGGCACAAATCTGAAACACGAAGAGTGAGCAATCGGAAGCCTGCTGAGAGTGAGCTAGGAGGAAGCTACATTATAAGGGCCCTAAAGGCCAGGTGGGGAAGGCGGGTTTTGAAAAATGAGGCAATCGGTCATCCTGTAAGTTTTTAAACAGAGGAATTAATCACTTTCTTCTGTCCATTCCTGTTGTCAGAATAGACTCAAGACCTGCTAAGAGACCGCTGATGCCACTCAGGAGTGAGGTTACATGGGAGAGGAAGTAGAGTGAGCAGTGGTCCTGGAGTTGGAGAAAGAACAAACATGGGCTGACACTAACAAGAACAACGGAATATAGCAGCTTCGGTTCCTGGAGGGAGGGAATGTATTCCAGGGCAGTAGTAGCTTCCATGTAAGAACACAGCAGCCATATACACCACAGAGATATTGGCATCTTCATTCTCAGGACAGCAGTGAGACTGAGCTTTCCACTTGCGTCCCACTGGCTTTGTGAACCATCTCAGCCTGCTTAATTGTTTACTGATAGGTGGCTGTTCTTTTCTCTCCTGCCTCCATGCCTAGATTTTTCTTTCTTTACTGCAGCTGTTTCTGTCAGTGCTGACCTGGAGAGCAGTGCTCCTGTAGCTCTACACATTACCATCTGGCCAGGAACCCAGTCCAGCACACACTGACGGCCTCAATCCTGGGTTCTGTCTCTGGAACCCGCTCAGACATCTGGGTTCATTCAGAAATCGCTGCCTGGACCATTTCAGTTTGGCTGTGCAATTTGGTGGGAGCGTTTTGGAAAGTTGTGTGGTCCATCGGGTGCTCAGACTGACTTTTGATCCTCCTTGCTTTCTTTCTTTATATTGTTTGTTTCTTACTGGAATGAATAGGGGTTTTCTGAAAATAAGTCAGATGGAAGCAACCCAGTTAAAAAAAAATACAAAACAACCTGATACGCCAGAGCCTAGCTTTGAACAACAGATGAATAAGAGGGCAGTTATTTGCTGATTGCAGGAGTTCACCTAAGGGTATGGACTAGTCTCTCAAATTCTCTAAGCCTCAGTTTCCTTATGTGGGAAAAGGATATGGTACCTCCTGTTTCTACCTCTCCAATTTTGTGAGATGCTGGATGACACAGGGATCTGAAATGCTTTGTAAATTTTAAAGCCCTCTGAATTTAACATATTAAAAATGTGGATAGTGGCTTCCAGGGCATTTAAAAAATGTTTTGATTTACATTTAGTAGAAACTCACCTAGTATGAAAACTTCAGAGATAACATCTCAAGATGATAGCACAGCTGAAAGTTTTATGGTCTCATCTCTGAATGTCGTCAGAGGAGAGCCAGGTGTTTCTGGGAACAGTTGCTTCCTGGAAAGGGGCATGCTTTTTGAGGGGAACAGGGTGGAGATGGTCTGCTTTCCTTTCCAGGGATAGTGGGTAGAATGCCCTCCTAATGATTAATTCCTCGATAGTGTGCTCATAAGTGGCAACCTGATAGCTTATTAGCAGTAATGCCTCTTCCTTTCTTTTCTACTCCACTTTCATACTAATGGCTTACCCTCCTTGTGTTGACCTCTTGGTTCTGTGAAGGCGTCTCTTTGCCAGTGGCACCTTAGCCTTAGAGTAGATGGGAGGGATGGAGCGGATCCCTGGGCCCCTCCTCCTAGAATCACCATGTTTGCTTTTTTCCCCACAGTGTAGCCAAGCTTTGTTTTCTCCAGCACCATTTCTCCGGTTCTTTGCATCCTTAAAGCCTCAACTTTGGCTTGCACGCCCCCTAGTGGCATGTCTGATGCACCCCTGTTACCCCATTTGTTGTTATACCATCGCTCTTCCCAATGGTATAACATTAGCTACATTCCTAAATATTAACCCCAGTTCACAAATGTGGGATGAGGGGGTAGGTGATCCTGACTTGCCTCTTGAGTGGGACTTGGGAAGTAGGATTTGAATGAAAAGTTTTAATTCCCAGATTTATACAATAGGAATGTCTCAGGAAAAAATGATAGTTATATCTTATCTAGACTATTTTATGGTTTAAAAAGAATCCATTATTTTACTTATCTACTCAGCTATCTGAAAGGATCAAAATGTGAATATTTAAAGATAAGAATAATCATCTTTCCACCCTTCCTTCATTACATTGGAAACATTTTCATCCTCACTGAGTGTTTAGTTAGTCTTTCATGCTCAGTCAGTCCTGTTAACAGCTTTGGGGAATACAAAAAAGTACAAAGCATGATGGTCGGCCCTTCAGAAGTTTACCTTCTAGTTATAAGGTATTTAAATTATTCCCTAGAGGAAAAATACATATAATGCATGGTACTTTTATGGGTGTTTAATATTCGTACTTCATCTCACTAAAGAGAGATTCTCTAAGCATTTGCTTATTTATTTTTGAAGTCTTTTTCAGTGGAGAGAGAACCCCAAGATAACAACAGTAATTACCCAGATGAACCGTGGAGGATAACAGAAGAGCAGCGCGAGTACTATGTCAATCAGTTCCGATCCCTTCAGCCAGACCCGGGTTCCTTCATTTCAGGTAATGAAGGCTGATGGGTGAGAATGTGGGTCCCAGGTCATTGTCTCATATAAATAATAGTATACATCTTGAGAAGTTGTGCACACAAAATGCATATGACAACTTTCTGTGACTTCAATTTGTTTCCCTCTAAGATCAAATTTCTTATCAACTACAAACCATGCAGAAAAAGACTTGGGAATGACATTTGGGAAATTATGATTCAGTTTTAAAGGAGTTAAGTAGGAATTTGGGAGAACCTACTCTAGACTCTGTGATTTATTAGCTGGGGCAGTTCTTGACATGATAGAGTGTGACACCAAGGCGACATCTTTAATTGGTTACTAATTATATTAGAGTTAGAGAAAGATGTGGTACAGCCTTGTAGAACTAGCATCACAGTCTCCTTATGTTATATTAATATATGCCTTAGAAGTTCAAATTCATGCTCGTTTTCTTTGGCTCAACCCTTTCTCCTCTGGTTTTTCTGAGAGAAATTAAGATATGGGAAGAAAATTGGCCAGCATTTTTATGTCCACATGTCAGTTCTTCTGGGTTGTCTTCAGAAATAGGTATTCTTGTTGAGTTCTCATGTAAAATTCAAGCTGAGAGGAATTGGTTTAATTCCTGTGTGCCTACATTTTATTGAGCTGAAGACTAAACAAATAGTGAAATCATAGATTCTGGAAGAAAAATTCATAAAACTTTTTTTGTACTTCAGTTTTGAAGAATAACAGTATGTCCTTAATAATTGTAACCTGACATTGAAGTGAGGACTAAGACTAATTTTCTTTTGTTAAATAAGGTGTGTAATTGAAATATACTTGTATAAGTGTAGCTGTCATTTTATAATTGGTAGTAATGGCTTTATTGAAGGCAGAATATTGTAGATACAACAAATTAATAATGCTAACAACATGATTTTAAAGAAATAAGCAGGAACACAGATTGCATGTACTGGCTGCTTGCTAACCTTACCCATTGCTTCAGTGAGTTTCTTCACAATGTACACAAATGAATAGACAAATACAAATAGGTGGCTGTTAGGCATGTTTTTACTTTCTTTTAATTTTTTTTATTTTGCAAAATTTCAAATATAGATATGGCTAGAGTGGTTAGTATAACAAACCCCTATCACATAGCCCCAGTGATTTTGCTTTATCTATATCCTCTCTCACCCCAGATGATTTTGAAGCAATTACCAGATCATTTCATTTGAAAATATGGGCTAGGAAAAAGTAAGTTTACAGTTGTGAGCACATAAAACACAGAATTTATTCTTGTATTCTTATTTATCATTATTATTTTTAAAGATTTTATTTATTTTTAGAGACAGGGGAAGGGAGGGAGAAAGAGAGGGAGAGAAATATCAATGTGTGGTTGCCTCTCACGTGGGCCCTACTGGGGACCTGGCCTGCAACCCAGGCATGTGCCATGACTGGGAATTAAACCAGTGATCCTTTGGTTCACAGGCTGGCACTCAGTTTACTGAGCCATACCAGCCAGGGCCCAGATTTACCATTTTAAGCATACAGTTCAGTGACATTAAGCAGCCTGTGCTCAATCCACTGGGCCACACATCTAGGGCTATGATTGTATTATTTTTTTAGGATGTATCTCTAAAGAAAAGGCCTTTTTAAAAAACATAACCATAATTCACTGGCACATGTTAAAAAATGAATTCCTTAATACTTATTATTAAATGTTCATTGTTTAGATGTCCCTGATCATTTTACAAATGCTTTTTAAAAAACTAAGTTTGACCAAGGCCAGGAAGGGCTCATATATTGTCATTAGGTGATATCTCTTTTTAAAAACATCTTTATTTAGATATTCACATACCATAAAATTTACCCATTTAAAGTGTATAACTCAGTGGCTTTAGTATACAGTGAATTCACAGATTATTTTCAGAATTTAAATTTGGAAGGCTTTCATTATCCTCCTCCATAAACCACCTACTTATTAGCAATTATTCCTTATTCCTGCTCTTCCCACCTCCCAGCCATAAGTAACTACTAAGCTATTTTCTTTCTATATAGATTTGCTTATTCTGGGCTTTTTTTTAAAGAAAGATTTTATTTATTTTCAGAGAGAGGGGAAGGGAGGGAGAAAGAGAGAGAGAAACATCGATGTGTGGTTGCTTCTCGCATGCCCTCTACTGGGGACCTGGCCTGCAATCTAGGCATGTGCCCTGACTGGGAATTGAACTGGTGACCCTTTGGTTTGCAGGCCATGCTCAATCCACTGAGCTACAACAGCCAAGGCCCTATTCTGGGCATTTCATATAAATGAAATAATCTATGTGGTCTTTCGTGTTTGACCTCTTTCACTTAGCATAATATTTTTAAGGTTCATCCATGTTGTCCTGTGTAGTCTGAACTTTATTCCTTTTTATGTCTGAGTAATTCCATTGTATGGGTTAGCCACATTTTATTGATCTATTCGCCAGTTAATAGCTATTTGAGTTTTCCCCAATACCTATTTTGGCTATTCATAATACTGCTATGAACATTTGTATACAAGAGTTTGTATAGATGTATGTTTTTATTTATCTTGGATATGTACCTAGGAATGGAAATTCTGAATCATACAGTAACCCTATGTTTAACCACTTGAGTAACTGTCAGATTGTTTTCCAAAGTGGTTGCACCATTTTACATTGCCACCAGCATTGTATGAGTGTTCCAGTTATTCCACACCCTCACCAACGTTGGTTATTACCTGTCATTTGATTATAGTCACCCTAGGTGTGAAGTGGTATCTCTTTGGGGTTATGATTAGCATTTCCCAGATAAATAATGATATTGAGCATCCTTTCATATTCTTACTGGCCATTTGTATATCTTCTTTAGAGGAATGCCTATTCAAGTCCTTTATCCTTTTTTTTTTTTTGAGAGGTAAAAGAGTTCTTTATGTATTCTAGATACATGTTTCTTATCAAGTATATGATTTGCAAATACTTTTTCCCCAATCTCTGGCTGTTTATTTTTCTAATGATTTCTTTTGAAGTATAAAAGTTTTTAATTTTCATGATGTCTAGTTCATCTAGTTTTTCTTTTCTTGTTTGTGCTTTTGGTGTCATATCTAAGAAATCATTGCCCAATCCAATGGCATGGAATTTTACACCTATGATGTCCTCTAAGAAGGAATATATATTATATTCATCTCTTGCATTTAGGTCTTTGGTTTATTTTGAGTTAATTTATCTGTACAGTATGAGGCAGGGGTTCATATTTATTCATCCAGTTGTTTGACAACCAATTAATTGTTTTAGCATTTCTGTCAAAATTCATTTGACTGCCAACATGAGGATTTATTTCTGGATATTAATTCTATTCCACTGACCTGTATGTCTAGCCCAGTGCCAGTGTGATATTCCCTTGATTATTGTAGTAAGTTTTGAAATTAGGGAGTGAGAGTTCTTCAACTTTGTTCTTTTCCATTTCATTTGTTTTGATTTCAATTTTTAGAGATTCTGTTTTTAAATTTTAATTTTATGTAAAATATTGATATGGTTCTGCCCTGGCTGGCGTGGCTCAGTTGGTTGGAGTGTTGTCCTGTACAACAAAAGGTTGTGGGCTTGGTTTCCAGTCAGGGCACATGCCTAGGTTATGGGTTTGATTCCCTGGTCTCAGGGCATATATGGGAGGCAGCTGATCAATCTCTCTCTCTTTCTCTTCCTTCCCTCTCTCCCCCTTTCTTCCTCTCTCTGTAAAAGCAATGAAAAAGTGGTTGGGTGAGGATTTAAAAATACATAAAATATTTACATGGTTCTAAAGTCAAGTCTACAGAACAGTCTGAAAGAAGTGTGGCTTCTATCTGTATCCTACCTTGTTCTTTCCTTGCCCCTACAGGTAACCAACATTTTTATGTTTGTTTTTAAAAATACAAGCAAATACATGTATGTGCATATCTATGTATACATATATGTGTATTTTTGTTTCCATCTTTCCTTAGATAAATGGTAGCAAACCATTTATACTTTTTTCTACCTTGCTTTTTTTACTTAACAGCGTATTCTGGTGATTACAGCATAGTCTCATGTTGAAATATTTCCCAGTCCTTTTTATAGCTGTGTGCTACTAAATTGTATGAATGTGCAGTCATTCATTTAGCCTGTCCCCTGTTAGGGTTATACCTAGTCTTTTGCTACAAATATTTATGGTGTTAATAGCATTCATCATGTTGTTTTATATTTTTTGTCAGTGTATCTTTGGATTATGTGATTTTGCTAGATATTGCATAACGCCCCTTTATTGGCATTCTACCATTTTGTCATCCCATCAACATTGTGTGGGGTGCTTATTTCCCTATTCTTATTATCAGAACATGTTAACTTTTGTATTTTTCCCCATTTGATAGGTAATAAATGATATCTTTGTGTGGTTTTAACATACAGATCTTTTATAAACATGGTTGAACCTTTTAAAATATGATTGAGTCAGTTGCATCTATTTCTGTGAACTCTCATAGCTCCACCTGTTTTTATATTGAATTCTTGTCTTTATTTGGAAAGGATATATATATATATATATATATATATATATATATATATATATATATATATTCGGTGTGCTACCGTTATATCCCTGATATATTAATGCTCTGTGTAACTGTAGTTTACTGGGCTGAGAGATTTCCTATAATAACAAGTCTGAACCCATGTTTTAATGTTTGATTGCTGAGAGCTCTTAAGTCTCCCTTCTCCCTTGTGTGCCCCTCATGTGGCTCCCCAGCAAGGTATGAAAATGGCTGGAGAAAACAAGGAAACGCATCTGTCTTGGGGTTTCTACAGTGGTTTCTACAGTGGGTAGAGCTTGAGTGAGGGTTTCAGCTCATGGTTTGAACTTTCATCAGCACCAAAGGACAGAGCACTGGTGCTTTCTTATTAGCTTCCCCTTTTGGCAGGGGGTAGCCAGGGCACAGCTGAACTTGTTACCATTCGGCTTCCCTATAAGCTACGCCTACCCGCTCTGGGACACCAGGGTGTAACAGTCTCAACTGTCTGAAGGCTAGGCCAGGTCTTTAGCTGTGCGTTTGGGTGTAACGTGAATTGAAGAAAGGATATCAAGCGGGGGTGGGGGGGTGGGAGAGAAGAATGACATGAGGGAACATTGTATAGCTGGTAAATGGGCTTTGAAGACATTTCTGACAAATATTTGACAAGGTATTGCATTGATGGCCAACAGTCATATGTCAGCACTATTTCCAAGATGCTTTTGAGGGAAAGGCTCATTGGTATATAGGGCCCTTTGCTTTTGATCCTTAGGAATCTGTCCGAGGAAAATAAGCCTGCTTTAGGGTCCATTTTAATTCATTGTTTTGAGGCCAATGAGAAGACTCGTAATTGCCATAGAATGACTTTTGACTTAAAATAGAGCTTGGGACTTTACTTCAACTATTCTTTGTGTTAGAATTGAGGCTTTTGACTTGTGAAACTATTTTGAGAGCCGAAAGCCTAAAAATTTCAATCTCAATAATGGTTGGGCCCAACATTTTAAGTGCAGTTAGGACTTAAGTGCAGCTCTGGAACATGTAAAATGGAATGACTACCTGATATAAATTGATACTGATAAATTTACACTGAATAAAGAAAGTAGCAAGAGGTTCCTGTATAAATTTCTTAAAGAGCCATCAAAGAGCTTTACCTCACTAAAACTCTTTCTCAAGAGACCTGTCTTAATGTCTGTGTGATGAGATTAATGGTGTTAATTTTCTTCTTTGTTCTGTTTTCTACCATGATTCTGTATTACTTTTTCATTAAAAGTACTTGACAGGTTTTTACTTCAATAATTTTGAAATTTGTCTTTTGAATTTTTAGTAAAATTTTGCACATTTTCAGTAAAAATGAAACAGGAACTCATAATTTGCATGTCATAATAAGTATTACATCATTGCTTCTTTTGCCCTATTCTAATTTGCATATTGTTTTTAAAAGCTGTTCACACTTTGTTTTTTAGCCACATGATTCATAGTTGCTTTAATGTTGTGTTTGTGGTTACGTGGTAGGGATTGTTGAAAGAAAAAATGGTGATTCATTGACATTAAATATAAAAGCTTCTCTAGATACTAATTAATGATTTCTTTAAACAATGGCTGTTGACAGGTTCAGTGGCCAAGAACTTCTTCACCAAATCAAAGCTTTCCATTCCAGAACTCTCCTATATATGGTAAGTACAATTAATGCCACATTGTATGATATAGTCATCCATATTCATTCTTTAGTTCCTACTGTTGCATTTCGAAAGTTTTATTTTTTGAATGATTTTTAAAAACATTTTATTTATTTTTAGAGAGGGGGAAAGGGAAGGGGAAAGAGAGGGAGAGAAAACATCAGTGTGTGATTGCCTCTTAGGTGCCCCTGACTGGGGACCTGGCCTGTAACCCAGGCATGTGCCCTGACTGGGAATTGAACCGGTGACCTTTTGGTTCGCAGTCTGGCACTCAATCCACTGAGCCACATCAGCCAGGGCCATATTAGCCATTATTTAAAAAGTAATTTCCTCATCAAGATCCCTTTTCAGTCTAAGCAATCATGTGTGTAGTTATATGAGAATTTCCATCTTGTGTATTTTATTTTCAGATTTTTCTACTTGGTGTGATGCAAGTAACCAGAGGACCCTGAAAAACTATTCTTTACAGTGTTTTATCAGGCCAGGTGAACAGAAGGTCCACAAATGTCTTGGAACTAAGTGAAATCTAACTATTCTAGCTGCGTGTGAGATTCCTAAATTTGGCTGGTGTTTATCAGCTGAGCCCTAATTTAGACTTGCAGCTATGGCATGTACTGCACCTTGCTGCAGAGCTGGCCACAGCCCTGGCTCCCCATGGGCTGTGCCAAGAAGGGCCAGATGGCTCCATTTGCATTTATGAAAACGCTTGGTGCCCTCTGTAAACTCCCGGCTGCATGGGGGCTGTTCTTCCTCACAACTGGGCCGGAGGCTGCACAGCTATAAATATATAATTAAAACATTGGAATATTTATGGAAACTTTTTTTCATGAAGATTTACCAAAAATTCTGATAGCACTTAAAATTGCTTATCATGTTTTCTGCATTTTATTGGAAAACTATTGCAATAATCCTTGTGCATGCCAGTGTACCTGGGATCCTGAGGTAGATTTATTCATTAGCAATATATTCTACCATAATTTTTACAAGAAGCCATATATTTGATTTTAAAGCTAGGGGAAAAAGCAGTTACCATTTTGAAAAGAATACAGTCTGTTTAGGCAGTATTCCCATTCTTAACCATAATGGCATGAGGCTTCCTGTCTTATATACACGAAAGCTGAATGGTTATTGTCTGCATCCAGCATGGGCAGCAGTCCCTGTAAACCTCAGCCTGAGTTGCTGCTATTTCAGGGCTGGTGCATTTTAAATATTCCAGAGGAAGGAGGACGTGAATGGGGCTTACCTTCGATACTCTTTCTTTCAAATAGTAACACCTTCCTAGTGCATCTTTATATGTCTTATCTCTCTACTTGTCCTAACACAAGTATGCTTGTCTCTGTATACCTTAGAGACTGGTTGAGTTTAGAGGGTCTTAATTACCTTGGCAAATAGGTTTCTTTTGTGCTGAGTAAATAGGTCTGTGCTTTCAGTGGAAAACAATGACTGAAGCGAAGATAAGCCTTTTCAAGACGATCCCTTTCTTCCTTTCTGTCTTATCTGGTTCCAGCCTCCCTTAGTTGCTAGTTTTATCTGAAAACATCCAACCAGTATTTATTTAGCTTACTTATATTTTCCCAGGAGGGGATTCTCAAGCAACTTTTTGATACAACATTTTTGTGACTTGAAAAGTTCAAGGTTTTTCCTTAAAGCTTAAAAATGAAGCATTCATTCCTGAGCTGTAGTAACTGTACAGCGGCTGGGCCAACTGTGAACGATCTGAGGCCAGCCCATCCTCGGACTGTTTTGAGCACCAAGTCAGGAGCTCTTCATACCACACATTCACCAAAAGGCTGTCAGCTGTGAAATCCTGGGCATCATTTTCCTTTTTGTGTCATGGCTGCCTGTCTTGTGTACTTCGAGTTGTAAAACGGACTTACCAGAGAACCTGAAGAATTTAAAGTTTTATTAATAAAGTGCTACTGATACCAGTGCTGTCAATCATACTAGTTCTTCCTCTGAGTGGCCCCCTGCGATTTCATAAGGGTTTTGGCACTCAACAGGCTCACCACCAGAGAACCTGGAAATTGTGTTTGTATGTTTGAAGCTGAGTAAATTTTCCTCTAAGCCCGGTGTTAGGTACTCATGACGTCTGTTATGTTTAGGGAACTTAGTGATGCTGACTGCGACGGAGCCCTGACCCTGCCTGAGTTCTGTGCTGCATTTCATCTCATTGTGGCCCGGAAGAACGGCTATCCTCTGCCTGACACCCTCCCTCCAACTCTGCAGCCAGACTACTTGCAAGCAGGTAAGGCCTCATGATCGATTCTAACCCTCAGACATTTTCCATTCAGACCTCACAAGAAATTTTCGTTTCTTTAATGATGTCCAGACACTTTAGGGCAGCGGTTCCCAAGCTTTTGGGCACCATGGACTGGTTTCATGGAAACAGGGGGTGGTGGGGAGGTAGGATGACAAGAGACAGAGTTCAGGTGAGCTTCACTCCCCGACTGTGGATGTGGAGGGAGATAGGAGGAGGAGCTCAGGTGAGCTTTGCTTATGGCCCAGTTCCTAATAGGCCACAGACTGGTACCGGTCTGTGGCCCAGGGATTGGGGACCCCTGCTTGAGGGAGTCCTTGTATCTACAGTTATTGTCCTTCAACCAATATTAGATTTTCATGTCTTTACAATGTGGGTAGTAGGGATGATCAGGGTGTGAGCCGTTTGTTATTTTCATTCCAGTACTTTTTGGATGGATTTGAACGAAAGTCATTTACCCTTTCATGAAAACTGTGGTGTAGGCAACTACTAAATTTCCCAGCTGATATAGAATGAAGAGGACTCTCTTCCTATATAGCCAAGCGCTGACTTGGCATCTTTAGGCATATCCCAGTGTCCCCAAGTGGCCTTGGGCAATGAAATGAAATAGAACTGTTATACATAATGAAAAAGTTAAAAAAAAACTATATGCAGTGAAATCTGCAAAGAGCTGTACTTTTAAATATACACTTGATGAATTTTTACATATGTGTGCACCCATATAACTACAATCAGATAAAGATATAGAACATTCTAGCACACCAGAAGATTGAAATAGAAGTCAACTCTCTTTGTCTTTCTTACTAATAAGACAGTTAACCCCACAAACCCTTTGGATAGGAAAAAGTCATGGTGTATGCGAAATATATCAATTCCTTCAGAAGACTGGACACATTAACAGTTTCTCTTGCCCTTTTCAGAGGCAGAGGGCAGTGATCTGATTTCTATTACTGAGAGAAGTATAGTTTTCATTGACAGGGTGCAGAAACATCTGATGCTTTCAACAACCTTTCTCACTTTTTAGGCAGGCAAGGTCTCTTAAAAACATGAGAGCTTAGTCATAGGTGATTATCGGCAAGACGGAACAGTGTCAAAAGTAAATGTGATTAGTCATCAAGAGTGTGAGTTTTGTAGTTAGACCTGGAAAAGGCCTTAGATTATCTTTCCTTGTCCCATCCTCATAAATATACCAGTTGCTAAGTGGCCAGTGACTCATGTAAGGCTGCATTAAGAGGGTATATGACCTTAGGGAAGAGTTCCGTACATATTTGAGCTGAGACAGGAAGAATGAGCTAAGGGCTATGTAGGTGAAGGAGGAGGAAGAATGGGCTCTGGCAGAGGGAACAGCACGTATGTTGCAGAAGCCCCGAGAGGGGGCTTGGGGCATCGGAGGTATGTAAAGTTCAGGCCGTAGTGGCTGGAGCACAAAGAGCCAGGGCTGGAGGGGATGGGGATGAGGTTAAATCATGGGCAAAGATGTTGACGTGTTTCAAGCAGGAACTTACACAATCGGATTTGTTGTTTGAAAGGATCCTGCTGGTTGCTCACCACAGAGCAATTTTTGAGGAGCAAGGGTGGAAACCAGAAGACCAGGTTATGGCAGTAGTCCAGTCAGGAGTTGTGGGGAGGCTGGCACTGGGGAGGTGACAGTGGAGATGCAGAGATGAGGACACGCTGGAGGGAGATTTAGCAGTTAATTTATGGCATTTGTAGTTTTTGAAAGTATTAGCTTTTTACCTAGAAAGACCCCCTCATGATAGGGCATTAGTCATGCAATTCTAGTGAGATCACTGATAAACTGGAAAGAGAAGTTTTATCTCAGTTAAAACTGCTCTTGGGATTGGATTGAGAAATAGTACTTGGAAAAATGTTTTGCTGGTTTTACTAAGAAGAGTGAGACCATCTGCTATAGTCAGAAAAAATCACCAGGGCCCGTGGTTGCCTGATCTGACATCAGTGAAGTTCAGACCAGAGTAACCAGATGAGCAATGTAAACTACTTGTACTTAACTGTTTACAGTAGCTATTGCTTACTGGCCAGTACTTTACTGTGGAGGGAAGTTGGTATTTCAAACCCTGGTGAAGATGGGAGGGTGAGAAAGGATTAACATCAGTGCTAATTCATTTTAAACACTTGACGCAAAAAAACTTTTTTTAAGCGTGGTGAGATTTCCTGGACCCAATTCCGATGTGTACGTGTGGATGCTTCCCCACACCAGCAAACAATTCTTATGTGTCAGAACTCTACTCAATTCTGACACTATCTACCTGGAGATGAAATCAGGGTCCACAGGTAAAGGGCTCTGCCCCACAGGAGATGCTAGTCGTGACTCCAGGCTGTTACCTGTGCTTCTGACAGACTGGCTATAAATCAGGCTTCCAGGATCGCCTTCTTGAGTTTGATTAATTTTCTAAAATGGCCCATAACGTTCAGGAATACCTGCTTACTCACTAGAATACCAGTTTATTACAAGGGATGTTAAGGATATGAATAAACAGGCTGATAAAGAGATGCAAAGGGCGAGGTGCTGAACAAAGGAACTTTTGTCTTCTTGAAACTTGGGGCCCAGCATGGCAGCACATGGAAGTGGTCTGGTTCCCTAATTAGGAAGCTTTCTGGAAAAAACAAACAAACAAACAAACAAACAAAAAACCCCCAGACCTACTAGCTATCCTTTTGGGTTTTTATGAAGACTTCATTAAATAATCATGATTGACAAAATCATTGGCCATTCAACCTCACCTCTCTCCCTCCTGGGAAATAAGGGGCTGGAGCTGAAAGTTCCAGTCCTCTAACTACATGGCAACTTGGCCAACACCCTTTGGTGGGTTTGAAAAGTCACTTCATTAACATAACAAGAGACACCATTGTTGCTCTCATTACTTAGGAAATTCCTAGGAGTGTGGGAGCTCTGTGCCAGAAATGGGGATGAAGATCAAATACATATTTCTTATTATAAATCATAATATCAACATAGCATTAAAATTTTGATTTCTTAATAGCTGGTCTTGACAAATTTGATTTGTAACTTCTGTATTGTCTACCCCAATCTGCTTTTCCTCTTTGGAATATTGACAAATTTTCTAGTCGTTGAAATGACATTTCTTTCTTAATTACTTTGTGACAAAGTGATGAAACAATCCACTTCTAGGAAATAGCACTGAGTGTTAATTATCAGCTTACTTAGTAGTATCAGTTTTCCTCATGCTAATCCAGTCAGTCTCCCAACTAACAGCCCCTCTATTAGAAATTTATAACATGATACTTATTTCTTCTCTTCTAAATCAGTAAGAACCTGTGCTCTTTTGTTATTCTTTCTAACCAAAAGAAAGGAGTATTTTATAGTTTTTTAAGATCTCATCTATTTCCAACAAAAATAGCTAAAATGTAGTATTTCCTTAATGTTTCTGGTATCACCATAGTTACTACTAAAACATTATGCTAGTAGCATAGTTAAAACTTAAGTATAGTGATAGTGATGGTTAATGTGGAAAATGACTACGTTACAACACCGAATGCCAAAAGCATGGACCTTCTAGCAGGATTGCTGGCAATTCAAGCCCCTAGTCAGCCATTTACCAACTATATGACCTTGAGTAAGTTGCTTAGCTCCCTGGTTCCTCAGTTTCATCTCGTTTAAATGATGAAGGGGTGATAGGAGTTCCAGGTTGTACATATAGAGAACTTAAAATACTACATCAGCACGATGAGTGCCATAACTAGTATATTGGAGCTAGCTGATTTTGTTGTTATATAGGAAACAATGCCTGCTATGATAATATGCATTCTTTTTGTTTCTTCTTAGCCTTTCCAAAGACCAAGTGGGAGTGTACCTTATTTGATTCTTATTCTGATTCCATGCCAGCAGACCAACAACCCCATGACTTGAATTGGATGGAGGTAAAAGATTTCCATATGTTAATGAGTGAAGGGTGTGTTAGAATTAGATCCATTAGCCTATGTGTTTTACAAACTCTGGAAAATCTGCTTTTAGAACACTTTCTCTTCATAGTTAGTAATTACTTCGGGGATCATCCTTTCAAATGTAGATACCAGATGTATCTATAATTATGTTTTTTCTTTTCTCCCTAAAACTAGATTTGGTAAAATAAGCATAACAGTCTTGATTTTCTAGAGGTGAAATTGAGGTGCAGCCAAACTAGGCCAGAAAAATGCTAGCCAAGTAATTTACTTTAACCCAGCTTTAATTTTGAAGTAAACATTGTGAAGTTATATTTTTAGTAGCTGAGTATTAAGAAAATATAATGAGCCAGAACAGTTTTGAGATGAGGTTTGAGAACTATAACTTTGAGCCACAAACCACATTTAAAGCTGCCTTCTCCCTGAGGGTTTTTAGCTTTTGGACCAGATGAAGACTGATTTGGATGATCCTCAAGAGAAACCCAGAGACTTCCCACCATGGTGGGCCACTGATGTAGGGGCTTGGCCACATGCTTAGTGGTCCTTCAGTATACATCAATAAATAGGAGTTGTTATGGTTATTGTGAATGTCAGCACTATCATCAGTCATCATCATGATTGCAGTGATTTCAGCTTATGATATCTGCTGTTCCTGTCCTAAAAAATCTGGAAATGTTTAATAAATGGAGGTTTATTCACAGAGTCCTATTATACCTCTCTGACCCTAGTTAAAACCATTGCAAGATGGTGGAACTCAAAGGCAGTATACAAGAACATGTCTTTAATTTCTTGTCACTGTGTGTGATTACTCTTTCCAGTGGGGCTCCCATGCCTATAGTCTGTGTTTTAGGTGACATCCGCTGCTCCTCTATGAGCAAATCAAGCCTGCTTCTACAGTGCTCTCTCTGTTAACAGCTTTCTTGGCCTCTCTGCTCCTCTTTCTTTGACTCGTAGCCTCCATGCTATTGTTCTCAACAGATTTCTACTCGTGGGAAGAAGATGTAATGAAAAGTGATTTCAGGAAAAGTGATAGATGTGCTCTTGAAGAGTTTTGCCCTTTTACATTTCTTTTTCTGTGCATTGCATATGATGGAGAAACATGTAACAATAGCCACTTTTGATGGACCTCAGTCTACTCGGGGGTTGCTGGCAGTGTCTGGCAGAGGTTTGTCTGCCAGGCTAGGACATATAACCTCTGCAGCTCTCTGATGCAATTGCCCTGGTTTTTCTTTATTTTGTTGTTGTTGTTTTGTTTGCCGAGTCCCCCTGCTTGTGTAAAATTATGAGGGTTAGGTGACTTATTAAAAGTGTCATACATTTTTATCCTCTAGATAAATGTTTTGTTCCAGCTTGCTATGGTATCACATGGCCTTTGCCCTTCCATCAGAGACAGATAATGCTAGTTTTTGGAGACATTAACTACTGACTTACACAGAGATGGACATTATGTGCAGCTAAGTTTTATATATATTCATATCTTTAAACTGGCTCCTTTGAGAGGGCAAGTTAAAAGCTACTTAGAATCCTCAGTTGCAGAAACAATATCAAAGGAATGGTGGAGTGGGTTACAATTTCCCACCATTAACAATTTTTCACTGTTACACAAACAGGAAAGCAAAAGAACAACAAAAACCTCTTACCCAAGAAAACTTATTTTCAGGGGTGAGGTCCTTCATCTTAGATAGTGATGTAATAAATAAAATTCAGGGGTAAACTAATATGGTTAATTAATGGTTTGTTCATTTGAGCAGTATAGGTCATAGCCATTTCAATAGGCATGATCAAATATTTCACATTCTTCTAAAGTAATTCATTGTTCTTTCTGCAACTGTTTAATCTTTCATGAATGCATGCATGGAGTTTAAATAGATGTTGGACCCAACCCTGTGAGGGATAACACCATATGGGTGTTTGTGTTATGAAAGAAGCTGTAGCTGATCCAGGTCATGAGAAGTTTGCTCAGCAGTACATCTTTTTCTAAAGACAGCAGAGCTGTAACCATGTCCTGTCAAGAATTAAAGATTAGAATTTCAGGTGTACTCCTCTTAAGCAGGGTTTCTTATATTACTAGATTTCTTTGTTTTGTAAACAGCTTTACTAAGATATAATTCACATACCATAATTTAACTATACAATTTAAACTACACATTTAAACTATACAATTCATTGTTTTTTTTTACTATAGTAACAGCTGTGCAACCATCACTGTAGTCTTAATTTTAGAGCATTTTCATCACCTCCAAAAGAAGCCTGTAGTCATTAACAATCAGTCATTCATTATCCTCTGGTAATCACTAATCTTTTTTCTGTCTCAAATTTGTGTATTCTGGACATTTCATATAAACAGAATCATATAATACGTGGTCTTCTGTGACTAGCTTCTTTCACTTAGTATAATGTATTAAAAGTTCATTCATGTTGAATCGGTACCTTATGCCTCTTTGTTGCTGAATAGTATTCCATTCTATGGATATGCCCAATTTTGTCTCTCCATTCTTCAGATGATGGACATTTGTGTTGCTTCTACTTTGGGGCTATTGGAAAAAATTACTGTTATGAACATTCATGTACAAGTTTTTGAGTGAACATATTTTCATTTCTCTTGAGTACATACCTAATTGTGGAATCGTTGGATCATATTATAACTTGTGTTAAACTTTTTGAGGAACTAGCAAACTGCTGTGCAGAGCAGCTGTACCATGTTATATTCCTCTACCAGCAATGTATGAAGGTTCCACTTACCCCGTGTCCTTGGTAACACTTGTTATTGTCTTTTTTTTATTTTAGTTATCCTAGTGGGAGTGAAGTGGCACTTCATGATTTTGGTTTTCATTTTCTAATGACTAATGATGTTGAGCATCTTTTTGTGTACTTAACTGTATTTTGCTGTGTATAATGCACACCCATATTTTTGGTCCAAACTTTCAGGAAAAAAATTTTTTTATTTTTAAATTCAATTACTTATTTACTTATTTACTTATATTTAGAAACTTGTTTTTTGTATAATAAAGGAATTTTAGCATTTATTTTTGAACATATTACAGTGCAAGAAGTTTTATGTACCGGTATAAAAAATAGTATTACTTTGCATATGGATATCGTTATTGCTTTCTAGAGTTACACTTTTATTTTAACACATAAACATAAATAAAAGAATTGAAAACATTTATAGAGCTACAAAACTAGTACTACCCATGTATAATATGCATTCTTATTTTTCCCTCAAAAATTTGGGCAAAACAGTGCGCATTATACATGGCAAAATACAGTATTAGCCATCTGTATACTTTTTTGGTGAAATGTCTGTTCAAATCCTGTTTATGAATTGGGTTGTTTGTTATTGAGTCATAAGTGTGCTTTCTATATTCTGGATATGAGTTCCTTACTAGGTATATAATTTGCAAGTATTTGCTCTTTCTTTGGTTTCTCTTTTTCCTTTCTTGATAGCATCCTTTGCAACACAAATGTTTATTTTGATGAAATTCATTTTGTCTGTATTTTTCTTTTTGTTGTATGTGCTTTTGGTGTCATATCTAAGAAACCATTGTCTAATATAAGATCATGAAGATTTACTCCTTTGTTTTCTTTTAAGAGTTTTATAGTTTTAGGTCTTACCTTTAGGTTTGTGATCCATTTTGAGTTAATTTTTGTGTATGCTGTGAGGAAGAGGTCTAACTTCATTCTTTGTGTATGAGTATTTAGTTAGTTCCAGTATCATTTATTGAAAAAAATTTTTTCCCCCATTGAATTGTTTTGTACCTTTGTTGAAGATCCCTTGGTCATAAATGTAAGGGTTTATTTATGTATTTTCAATTCTATCCCATCTACATGTTGTTATGCTAGTCATACAGTTTTTTTTCTTTTTTTTTTTCACTTTTTTATTGTTGTTCAAGTACAGTTGTCTCCATTCTCCCCAATCCCCCTCACTCCCCCTGACCCAGCCATCACAGTCTTGATTACTGTAACTTTGTGGTAAGTTTTGAAATTGAGAAGTTGAGTCTTTCAACTTTGTTTTTCTTATTCAAGAATATTTTCACTGTTCTGGATTTCTTGCATTTCCATATGAAATTTAGGACCATCTGGCCAAATTCTGCAGAAAAGTGAGAAGGATTGCATTCAATCTGTAGATGAATTTGGAGAGTATTGCCGTCTTCATAATATTAAGTCTTCTGACTCATGAGCATGGGATCTTTCCATTTATGTAGATTTAAAAAATTTCAACTCTTTTTTGGTTTTCTTTTTATCTGCATTTTCTACTCCTAAGTCATTTTCTTCTACTAAGGATCTGGTTTATAATCTAGGTGGAAGAAGAAAGTGAAAGGGACTGTTAAGATACATTTTTTGTTCCATTGGAGCTAGTAGACTTTGAATAGGAAATTACATCTGGGTGCTTCATTGTAATGCCAAGAATGTCCTGCCTGAGGATTAAATCATAGATCATATTACCACCAAGCACTACTATTATTCTTAAATCTATCAGAAGTCTTAGAGCACTTGTAATTGAGACTTTCTAAGAAATAAATTTATAGCCCTGGCTGGTGTGGCTCAGTAGCTTGAGTACCGGCCTGCAAACCAAAGGGTGGCTGGCTCAATTTCCAGTCAGGGCACATGCCTGGGTTGCAGGCCAGGTCCCCAGTAGGGGCGCACGAGAGGCAACCATACATTGATGTTTCCCTCCCCCTCTTTCTCCCTCCCTTCCTCTCTATTTATTTATTTAAAAATAAATAAATAAAATCTTTTTTAAAACCCACAGTCTCTAAAACAAAGTAATAAATTTAGAGTAATAGATTTTAAACAGTATTTTAAATTAATCAATGCTTGATTAATTTGGGTATTCATCTTATTAGTATAAGTGAAGACTTTTCCCATAAGTGAGTTAGGAGGAAATTTTGTCCTGTTCATCAGTAAAATTACCTTATTCCAGAATAAGGAGGCTATTTGAATCAAGGTAAAACACCCTCTGGTTAACAGATTCTGGCAAATACCTACCTTATTGGGCCACTTGTCAGAATCTCTCTCTGATTGTGAAAAAGTACATAGAATTCAGGTTTGTTCTTGACTGAATGGGGAAATGCTGAAAGATGGGTTTCTCTGGCTGCATCCCATACTGGATTCAGATTTAATATGTGATCTATACATATGCCGGCCTTAATCTGAATTGTTATTTTTTTTCCCTCTATGCATATAAATATTTCAATACAATTTAACTTATCTCCCACTAGGCACCTGAAATAAAATAAAATAGTATTAAATGTCAGGGCTTACTGAAAGCAGAGATATTGACAAGATGTATAGCTTTTAAAACATTCTCATCATATGTGCAGATCACTTAATTTCTATTCAATCTGTATAATTAATTTTCTTTCCTTTTTCAAGAAGTTATCTATTAACGACATGACTGACTTTCCTGTTCCTACCCAAGATATGACTGGTAATGACAAACAAGGTAAGGAAAGAATGAGTTTTCTTCCTTTAGGGATATTCTGATTGTTTTTCTTAATCCATTTCTCTTAGAATAGTTGGCTTGTAGAGCCTATAAGGACAGTTATCAGTATGTGAACACATTTGGGTGGATTATGTAGTTCAAATTATTGTCCCCAAACTAGTTCATAAAGTGGTAATAAGAGCTTGAGTGCCCAAAGCCCTCCCACCCCAGCTCATTGGCCCCTTACTCACTGTTGGCCCTCAGGCTTAGCATATTTTGGCAGATGTAATCCCAGAGCATCAGTGTAAATACAAATTTGTACACGGGTTTGGTCTACAAGGAAATTATTTTCTGGAGAGAGTTTTTGTTCCTGAGCTTTATTCTCTGTGACTATGGGTGTAGGGCTGTGATGTGAAGCCCAGCAACAATTTGCCTATCTTATGGCACAGGTGAGAAGCAGTACAACACAGTGTTCCATGTTACAGCTATCACCAAGCACAGAGATAAGGTTGCCTGGGAATGCCTAGAAGAGCAGGAGGAACCCCCCCGCCCCCGACCCCAAACTTCTATATAATGCTTGATAATCTACCGTGTCCTTCCTTGCACACTGTCTCATCCAGTCCTCACAAAACTGAATGGAGACTGACATGTTTATCCCTTAAAATGTAGAGGTGGGTAAGCTGAAGTTCAGGCAGTATGAATTAATTGCTTAGTAAGAAAAAGGGAGGGGATATGAACCAATATTTTCTAAATCTCAAGCCAGAATTCCTTCTATTTTCTGATATTGATTTACTGCCCATGCATGAGAGACCTATCTGAAGAGACTAAAAATCAGTGAAACTATTTCAAGTTTTATTGTAAAGACCTGCCATTGACACAGCTTTGTATGGGAGTTAAACATGAAAAACAAGTTTTCCCTTAGTAAACAATAATTGTATGCTATCTATTTAAATATTTACTTGGGAGAGGTAGAACTGGACATTGTCTACAGTAGCATGTACTCTGATCATTCTTTATTAATTAATGGGTCTTAGCTTCGGCTGCACATTGGAATAACCAAGTGAGCTTTAAAAATACTGAAGCCTGGGTTTCACTCTAAGAGAGGTTCTGAGGTTATTGATCTGGATATCAGGAATGAATTCCTGATACTTTCTGATAATACTCCTAGCTACTAGAGGCACTCTCCCTAGAAAGTTAAACATATTGATTTGTTCTCTTGGGAGAACCTCCCATACTTTGAGTTCTTTTTTTTTTTAAAAGATCTTATTTACTTATTTTTAGAGAGAGGGGAAGGGAGAGAGAAAGAGAGAGAGAGAGAGAAACATCCATGCGTGGTTGCCTCTTGCACGTCCCCCACTGGGGACCTGGGCTGCAACCCAGGCTTGTGCCCTGACTGGGAATCGAACCGGTGACTGGTTCACAGGCTGGCGCTCAATCCACTGAGCCACATCAGCCAGGGCTTCATACTTTAAGAGTACTTTATTGTTTTAGTAAGTTGTATAGCAATTATAGAAATTTGTAACAATGTTTTCATAAGTGATTAGTAGAGATTCTTTGTTTTAATGTGCCAGAGAAATAAAATGTTATAGGTTTTTTTTCTTTTCGTCTCCTTTCTCTCTCTGTTCTTTTAAAACAAAACATCACTAGCTTTGAAAAGTACTATGGATGAAGCCTTACCAAAGGACATGTCTGAGAATCCAGGTAGGAGAAAACCATTTTAACGTATTTATGTAATTATTTCTAATAAAAAAAAAGCAGTAGTTTTAGTGAGTAGAAGATTGGTATATTTGTGATAGTATGTATGTTTGTCTCTCAAATTTGTCTTGTGTTTTATTACAAGGAAACCTTTTTGCTTTTTTATAACCCCTCCTTTTCAGGTACAGGAAGGGGATGATTTCTTCTTAAAGTTCTGAATTTAGGTTTCATTGAAAGGATCACTGAATTTAGTCTCATTGTTACTAAGTATAAAGTTGAGAAAGCTTGGAGTTGAGAAGATTTCAACAAGCCATTGTGATTTCTGTGTAGAAGAAGGAATTGATGGGGTACATCAATTGGAGGCCCACTGTTGAAATGTTTCCACTTCCAAAATGAAAATCTCAATATTTTCATTAATATTTCACCTCCAGGAAAGCAAGTAAATGTTCTTATACATGGAGTGGATTCCAAGGAGAAAAATAAAAGTTGTGTTTGCCCTGTTCTTGGAGAATTGGAAGTGTAACTGAACAGAGATAGCTGGACCTGTGTCCTCAGCTGTCTCAATGGACCCACCATTGAACCAAGATGAACTTAGTTAAAAAACAAACTGGCTAGGGAAAATGTTAATATTTGGAGCTCTGATTATGAGGACATGAAAGAAATTGGTGTTTCTTTTTTTATCTCTCTTAATATTTAATAAGTAAATCATGTTTGTTTTGGTTAGCTATCATCCCAGGATTATTTGTTTAAAGTTGGAACAAAGGGGTCAATATAACATTGAGGCTTATGTAATAGTACAATATTTCCCAAACACAAAGTTCATTCAAGGTTTAAAAGAGAAGAATAGAGGGAGAGAGGAGGGAGGGAGAGGACTGGTGGGGGGAGAGAGCAGGGAAGAGTATATGAATCAGAATCTATAATGGATTTTAGATACGAGGCCTAAGAATATGTATTTTTTAGGCAGCCCCAGGCGATGGTGATGAGTAGCCTATTTTGGTGACAGCTACCTATAGAAGGCCATGTTAAGAAACAGAAAATTAAGATTAACCGTGATTCCAAAAGTGGTAGGAATTCTCAAACCTAGTTTTTTGGCTTTGGAACTGATTGGAATTCCTTCATCATGGGGGAAATGCTCTGTGTAGGAGAAATGCCGGAGGCAGGTTTTTTTTTTTAACCTTATGTTACGCTATTAGCAAAAGCTATTTAAATGTAGTAAGGTAAATTGCTGCTTCTCTAGCAGCCTTCGAGGAAAAAACTTTCTGTTGTTTTTTTTTTTATTGTCGTTTTTTTTCCATGAGCCTCATGTGTTCTCTGGAGCGAGCTTCAGATGTTGTTAACATTCCGTCATTAAATAGGGTGTGGTGTCACCAGATAAAGCCTCTCAGGGCGTGGCACAGTGTGTAAAGCACATCTACATTTGTTTCACATTCTGCCTAGGAGCACGTGTGGTTCTGAGTCATTTTCCCACTGCTGCCCTGTTTTGCAGTGGATATAAGGGACTTGGATTCCTAGTGGGAGACACTGGAGTTTCGAGGTGGTGGTTTCTAATTCTGAATGGCTGTCGGTGCCATGTGGACAGTTCACCTCAGTTGAGTTGCTGCCTTTTGGAGAATTCAACTTAAGGCTTGCTTTCATATCTCATTTCTGTTTCCTGGAAGATGACGTGCCTGGAATATTCTAGGAAGCTGGCATTCTTCTTCCCTTTCCCAGCTAAATGGGAAGTGATGATCTGCCCATTGGCATCTGCCTGGATTTCAACACAACGAGCCCTCACATTTTTTTGCAGATAGTCACGTGCTCCAAATGCTGAGCCTGACTTTTAGGGGCTCGGAAGCTGATGGAAGACTTAACCAGAATAGTGAGCTCCGGCTTTTTCTGATCAGAAACCTGTGGAGACTCACCAAGACCTGCCTGGGATATGTTTTTGCAGGTGGAAGGAGAGGCATCTCCCCACCCTGCTCTTTCCCAGTAGGTGGTGATAGTAATAATAGTAATGGTGATGAAGCTGACAATGTGGCGGGTTACAGATGGAATGGGACTTTATTATCAGTGAACGGGAGTATCCTTTTTACGTCTTTTTAATGCCCTTACCCTTTTAATCGCTGAAAGTATATGTATTAGTGGAGCCTAGTAGATTTCTTAGCTAATGTTACATTCCAACTAATTCAAGAGAACACACTGCACAGTGGTGATCTTTTTCTTAACGTCTTAGTCATGTTTAGTGGATTAGGCCTCTTCATCCTTACACTGTAGTCTTCAGACTGCTACTGGTCATTCTAGCAGCTGTCCTGATTGCCATTTGTCACCCCATGGTTTTATGGGGTAGAGCAGTTCTTTCCTTCCATTACCCTCTCCCACCTGCCTCTCCTTTGCTGTCCTAGCAGGAACTAAATTTAGAAGCCAGAATTCTAAGCTTGAAAAACTAGAAGCACTCTATAACAGTAGTATTTTGCAATTCTAAAATATACTTAGTTGTTAAAGTACCTTCACTGTATTGTCTCTACCTGAGGCATGGCTGCATTTTCATTGTCCTCATCCTGTAGGTGAGGAAATGGAGGTTTAGAGAGCTAACAGTTGGTAAGTGTAGTAGCCAGGAGGAGCACCTGGGCCTCATGACTTCCGGCCTGGTCTCTACCACTCATCTGCACCCCTCACTTCATCTATCTGTCACTGGCAGGGTTTACCCCGCCTTCCACACCCATTCCTACCCCTGCAAAACCACAGAGATAATGGCAATTGACAAAGGAATGAACAGTCACCACGGTCTGGTTTGTTGAACAGTATTTTAACATGGCTGAGACTGCTACCTACGTATTCATGGAAAGCAGTGGGGTCTGAGGGAGAAGAGAGCCACAAGAGCCAGCTTTGGCTCAGCCTGCTCAGAGGGTGGCCCCCAGCTTTTTGGTGAGTCTGCTCACATTGTCCACCCAGCTGCAAGGCAGCCAGCTTGGCTGGAGGAGAGGCTCCCCTTGGGCCACTTTCTTTTGCTGCCTGAGGTGGGTGGGTGGGGGGGCAGTTAGTTTTCCATGACAATGGGCAAGACAGGGGTCAACTTCTTGGGCTGCCCAGCCTTTCCAGAGGTTTGAGTTGAAAGATTCCTGCGTTCTTACTACAATAAGCTAAAATGTGTAGGTTGGGAGAAATATATCTTGTCTGCAGCTGACTCTGTGGAAGGGGATGTATATTGCTTGTTTGCTTTGTGCCTTGTTAGCACTTCAGTTCCCCTTCCTGCCCTGCTTATCTAACTGAAAGATCTTAATGGTCCTCGTAAGTCCAGGCTGCCTCATACCAAGGAGGGTTTTATCTTTGGAGCATTGTGAAAGAGGAGGGGATGATGCAGTGAGACATTTTCTTCCCAGAAGCATTTGTGCAAACAATATATAAACTATATTCTTGTTCCTAGTTAGTAGCACTTTTTGTATGAGTTTTTTTTTATGACATTTTATGATGAAAAAATTGCAGTGTTTGCAAAATCTAAGCATAGCTAGTGGTTTTTAAAGTTGTCTTCCATAGAGGATTGAAAACATCAAAAGAAGATTAATGTTTTGGTAAATGTTTCTAATTACTCCCAAGAAGTTGGGATGGGAAAGTAGGCGTTAGTTTATGATTGAAATTTGATAAGAAAATGTTGTGTGGTTAAGAAAATATTTTAATGATTTCATGCCATAGTATTCTCTGTACAATTTGGTCATAGAGACATAGGCCACAAGAATATTTTCTTTTAGGAAAAGCTGCATAGCTCATTGCAACTTACTCATGGGAGCTTTGATTTCTTCTGGTCATACTGCTCTGGTAGTGTATTTTAAGAAAACCTTAACATATATAGCCTAAAAGGTTTCTTTCTAGTCTTCAGAGGAGTTTGGTTCTGAATCTATTACTAGGCTATTATGATAGATCAACAAATCCTGAAGTCTGAACCCATCATTATGTAACTAGATAACCCCTTAAGAAGGTTGTCTTTTTAGACTGGAATTTCTTTGTTAATCAACTTTGATTTGAGAATGGCTTCTTAGATAGTATTCTGATAAAAGGAAAACATGTTGGTTTTTATTTCCCTTTAATTGTGCCTTTAGCTTTAGAAATAAATTTCTGGAATAATGATACTGTGGAAGAGGTCATGTTCTCCACATGGATACCTGTACCTCACGTTGACCTATTGATGTGTTCTGTACTAGTCCAGGTACTGTATATAAACCTGTTTAACTGCAAAAATGAAACTCAGGCAAACAACAATTAATCTTCATTTCAGCCACTCCTAAGGAGTCCAACAGTCTCAAAGCAAGACCAAGATCCAGGTAGCGTTTGTTTAATTTCTACTTTAATACCCTTTGTGCCTTGTCCCAGACTAGAAATAAACCCCTCCAATCCAAAGCACAACCCACAATCTCCTTTTCCTTTTGATGTGAAGCTTAGAATGTGGGTGAGTTCACTGTCACGAGGGGCCTGCCTGGAGCGTGCAGTGCTACTAGGAGACTCTCAGTTTGTGTTTATTAGTGCTGGAAGATGGTGGCTGCTGCGCTCTGGTCACCTGACATGAAGAAGCAGCTTGTGTGATATGGCCATGTTGTTGCAGGATGATGATAAGTAGGGAGAAGTAGCCTTGGAAAGAAGGAAATATGGTTAAAAGGTAACTAACACTGAAATTTACTGTCATGACAAAATAAATACCAAGAAGTAAGAAGTCTGTGGTCAAATCTAAAGTTGGGAAATAAAATGCTTATGGTGATTCCGGTGAGGCAGGATGTTTCAGGTAAGCAGTACTTATGGTCTGTTTCATCCTATCTTAGAGCCTCTTTATGGCTTTATGGTTTTTCAGTCTCTAGAGGATAGCAGAAGAGGGAGAGACAGGGAAGCAGAGCTGTGGCTGACATCAGACAACAGAAGGGAGGAGCAAGGACAAACAGAGAAACACTAATAGGACCAACAGAACATGAAGAGGGGAAGATGGTGTTGGGACCCCTCTTCACCAGTAGACTGCAGATGAGACAGTGTGTGTGTCTTTTCCAAGTTTTCCTTTGGTTCTCAGTGACTATTTCCTCCTTTGGCTACTAGACACATTCCTGAAAAAGTGAATTTAAATCTGATCATATTTTGAAACACTGATATTTAAGGAAATCTTGTTTTTCTTGTAAATCAGAGGTACTACTCCATAGTGTATCTTTTATGTCTGGATTTTCCAAATTGGGGTTTTGTTTCCTTGTTCATAGAAGGTAAAGCTATTGATACTCATATTTCAAAAAACAATAGATACACTAATTCATTTTGGTAGGAAAAAAAGGCATAGTCGTTATTTCTCTGTATGGTCACCACATTTACTCATCCCTTTTTGAAAAGGATGAATGGATATTTTACAAATTAGTCTGTACTGGCTTTAAGATGTACACATAGTAACATTCATCTGCCCTTGTAGCAGGAAAAACCTTGGAATAGCAGAAATTTTCTTATGTGTTCTATGTTAACCGTAAATTGAACCTCATAGTTTTCTCTTCTGCTGACTTCCTCTGTCTTTCACAAAGCAAGTGAAACGACCAAATCTCATAATCACATACTCTATTATTAATCTCACTTGCTAAATTTTATATATTACTCTTTTAGGAATTGGTCTGCTGGTCTAATTTGGATGTTTTTATTGCACTACTCCCAACTGGGTCTTGACTGAGACCAAGAGAATCAAATCATCATTATCCTCCTTTTTAGAGTAGCAAAGCTTTGTAGAAATGTAAGGGAAAGACGGACAATCACCATTCTAACACTACTACATTTATCATTTTCTTGATTCCCTGCACATTTACATCTTAATTGGTTGCAGCCACAGTTTTTCAGTATCACTTATTTCATAATCAGTTAACTTTCCATAACAAAATATAAATACACTGGGTATGTGTAGAAGTAAAATGGAATGACTTATGTGGCATAGAAAATTCTTTTAATTTCTAGCTAAGATCTCTAATTTCCTTTTTAAATCAAGAGTTCCCGTTTGAAAACTTTGTCTTCCTTTCAGAGTGATTTCCTCTTATTTTATTTGAAAGTATTAGAATGTTCTTCCTGCTAGTTCCTGCGTGTCTTTGCCTTGCCTGTCTTGCCAGTCGTGTTACAGGGACCCCCCCAGAGCACGTCACATGCCATTATGGTGGCTTTATTAAAGACTGAAACATTGTATGACAAACAACACCCCTACTACCACCAATAAATCTTGAAGAACTCATTCAGGAAAATTAAAACTTGCTGTGTGAAAACCAGCTTTACCAAGAACTGACGTTACATAATAGAAATGGATAGATTCTAATTTCATAAGTGCTGCTCTAAATAGCTAAGTACTAAGAACAGTTTTCTGACATTAATTTATCTCTAGGACATATCTCTGACTCAGGTCATTTTCTTCTTTGGCATTAAGTTGGCTGAGATGCTGAATAGAATAGATGTATATACATCCACTTCTTAGAAAAATCATATTGGAAATTCATCCACAAACCTATTACCAAGCAATAGAATTATGTACTAAATGGAATTAATTTAGAAGATAAATAGTCTCTAATAAATAGTGTAGCTGCTACCACCTAAAGGTTTTTTCCCTAATTCAGGCAGTATTAGAACATTTTTAAAATGGAATTTGGAAACAGACATGGACTACAGTTTGAATGAAACCCATGCAGCTTGCTATCTGCGTGACCCTTGGCAAATTATTTTGTTCATTTTTCTTTAAATGTCATTATTGGAGTTACAGTCTCACAAGCTGCCTAGGTAGCTACTGCCTTGTCACAGATTGAAGGAGGAAGTTAAGAGGAAGCTTTTGCTTTGAAAGTTTCCCAAAACTTGTATTTCTCATGGTAAGACAAACCAGACCCCTCAGGCTGATTGATGTGTGCTTTCCTGTCCTGAATTTCATTTGTGGCATATTCCCTTGAATATTTGATTCTTACTCTCAACTTATCTGTCCCAATTCTTTATGTACCTGTCATCACATGTGCATATAAACAGGAGAAAAGTTCTGTAATCAGTTAATATCATAAAGCCCCTCTGCTAAAATATGGAAGTACCTAAGTGAAAGGGTTTACATGCTATTCTTATTAATAATTCCAGTTGAAACAGATTTCAATTCACAAAACCTTTTCAGGAAATTTAGGTCTAAGGTGTAATAAGAGCAAAGAAGTTCAAAAAGATTCTGATTCGCGATTGGGGTTTGGGCATTATGGCAGACAGGGGCATCCAGGGGACGGTAGAATTCATGGTTGCTTTGCAAGCTTGTCAGTCCTTTGCTGTCACTTTGACTTTTGTGAGTATTTTCCATTTCAACCCAACTTCAGAGAATAAAGCTTTGCTGTCTCCTTTCTGACCTTCCCTTATTTTGCTGCAGATCTTACTCTAGCACCTCCATAGAAGAGGCCATGAAAAGGGGCGAGGACCCTCCCACCCCGCCACCACGGCCACAGAAAACCCATTCCAGAGCCTCCTCCTTGGATCTGAATAAAGTCTTCCAGCCCAGTGTGCCAGGTGAAGTGCCCCTTTGTATCCCAGCCCATCCCTTTCCTGTTGGAGTTAGTGGATGGGCGTCTGCCACAGAGGCCTTTGTGAGCCCAGGGAATGAGCAGCCTGGCTGTGTCCCATCCCAGGAAGGTCTATGCATTGCTATAAGATTCTTGGGAGGGAAAGCAATTCTAGGCAGATAGATATCACATATGTCTGGAGCCATGCCCACACTCGCTTGGGATCAAGAATTACAAAATTCTGTACCAAGAGGATAAAAATGCTTCAACTCCAGACAGCCTACTGAGTGCATGGCTGGGATCTTGTTATCTGTATCCTGGTAATTTGTATATAAGATTCCTGTCTGTCATTTCCTCAGAGGCTTATGTGGTTCTTCTGTGAAAGATCTGGATGAGAAATGCCTGGCTAGAATCTTCTGTATCTTGTCTCTGTGGCGAAGGTCCTGTGTCCTCTTAGGTTTAATGCTAAGGGGACTCTGCTTTCTAAATCTGACTTGTGGTTAGGTGGCTGGTGGTGGGGTATAGGGCAAGGGCTCCTTCAGGTGCACTGCTCTGGGACTGCTGGGGCTGGGAGACTTTCTCGAGCCACCGACTGTAGAGCTGGGTTTGGAGGGGAAGTGTTTGTGGGGCCTGTCTGCTCTCCTGACTCCCTGTGAAGTGGGAGCCTAGGGAACCTGTGGAACAGCAGATGAGAACCATGCCATTGCTTTAGTGAAGGTACTAGGGTACAGCACCATCCCAAGTGTTATTTTGGGAGAAGCAAGGGCCTTTCCACTGCCTAATGTAGGCAAGGTATAAATACAATGATTTCCTGACCCTTTTAATATCCATGTGCATTTTAAATCAAGGGAACCTCAGATGCTAGTGATTTTCAGATTATTATCTTTTCTACTAAAGCAAGAAAAGACTCCTTGGCTCACACATTAGCGTGACCTCTGTGTCCCGGCAGAGCTCAGCATGTTTTATTTGTTCTAATAAAGTGCTCTCTTCACAGTAAAGTTATAGAATGTTTTTTAATATACTAGGATCTGGAGCTCTCTGTGAAACTTGATTCTATGCCATGAGTTCATCAGATAAAAATTTGCCTTGAATTTCCCCCCAATACTTTGATCCAAATTCTGGCATAATTTCATAGTAACTGGTATTTGGAGTGGGAGTAGCCATGGATGATGATGCTATAAAAATTTTACATGGCTGGTGGATTATGACCTAGAAGATTTTTGTATTGATGCAAGAAGATTAAAACAATCTGGGCAGCTGTCTCAATATATTTTCTTTGCAAGGAGAGAGGCTGGAAACACGCAAACATCTCTCTGTGTAACCCCAGAAGGAGTGCCAGGTGTTTGCAGAATGGATGTGTTGTGGCTTTTATGACATTGTACTCTGGAGAGGAAGAGACAAGACTGGACTCAGAGTCTCTCTCAGCTGCCTGTTAACTATATGATTTTCAGCAAGTGGTTTAATCTTTCTGCATCTCCAATTCCTAATCTGTAAAATAGGGCCCATATTCCACAGAATTGTAGGGTTTTTGTGAGATGATAAATACGATTCAAATAGCACGATGTTTGGCCCATAGGCATTCATTCCACAGCAGACCGATGAGGGAAGGGAGTCTGAGGATAAAGCCCCCTGACTTCCTTGATCCCCCAGTGGTACACTTCTGTGATTTGTCCCCCACCATCCTTGGAGGACACACAAAGGGACCGAGCCCCAGTTGCTGGCTGTAGTACTTTACTCATTAACACACCACTTCTTAGCTTTCTTCCCTCCTGCTCTGTCTCACTTTCCCCACACCCAAGTGAAATACCTGTTCCCGAGTCCTAGTCTTAGGGGCTGCTTTTAGGAGAACCTGAATTAAGACAGCTTCTTTTTACATCTCCAATGTTGCTATGACTTCAAGAGGAAAAGCATTTTGGTTTGATAAATGCCAGAGAACAGCTAGATGGGTGACATCTACATTCACAGCCTACTTCCCTTGTCTTTTCAGTGCCGGTTTACCCAAGTGACATTTTAATGAGCAGTTTAAATTGATCACCTGAAGAAGAGAGCAGGTGGTACTATTGCATCTACTTAATTTGATTCAATGTTGGTTAATTCTCATTGGAAATTACAAGGACCTAAGTTATGTGGAACTTTAGTGTATTGCATTTTGCTAGAAATTACTCAGTAAATCCTGACAAACTGTGAAAGCAGGAAGTAGAGTATAAATCTATCAGAATAGTGCACCCAGTGAGAACCATGATGCCCATGTAGTAACCCCTTACCTGCGCTTGTGTTTATATGTCACTTTTGATCAACTAGCTCATACTATGCTTGCTGTTCTATATCCTGAACTTTACCATTAACCATCTTTCTATTTCATAATAGAGAGCTTCATCATTTCTTTTACTGCCTGTGTGATACATGTATGGACCAGAATTGATGGTGCATTGCTGGGGCATTTTCTCTCACCTTGTCTTCCTCTCCTTCTCCTTCTCCCTTCCCCACACTTTTCTCTCATGCTCATGCATTGCTCCCTCCTGCATGTTCTGCTTGATCCTTTTTCACAGAGCCGCTCTTTTCTCCCTTTTTCATCCTTCTCTGTGCTCATTCCTGCTCCTCATCTTTCTTCTCCCTCCTCTCCTCCCCTTCCTTCTCTGTTTCTCCTTCATTTCCCTTCCTCCCTCCCCGCTTCACGCTCAGGAGCCTCTCTTTCCCACACTACTCCACTTGTCTCACTTTGCCCCACGTCATAAACGAGGGAGAGGTGTTTAAGGCCTTTGTATGCATATCTTTGTTTCCTCACACACTTCTTTTCTTGGGCTGAATCCTACAAGTTGGAGTTGCTGCGACATAGGCCATAGACAGACACTTCAAGTATAGATATATGCTGCTAAACTGTGCTGTAGAAAACACACCCTTGCCGGCACTGGTTAATGTTCATGTTTTTGATTGTTACCAATATGATAGGCAAATGTTTGCATTTTCTTGATTCCTAGTGAGACTAAATAGCTTTTCATATCATTATTTGCTATTAATATTCTTCTCTTTGTTAATTGCCTGCTCAGAAGGCTCACTCAGCTTCTGTTGCTACATCTTTTTGCCTAACCACAGGGACTATTTGTCTCCTTTTCATTTTTCCAATGAAGTTCTGGACCTGTCTCCTCTGAAGCAGTTGGGAATGTGAGGGTGGCCATAGGGGCAGCTAAACTAACCTGTTACTTCACTGGGTCCATGTCCTTCTAGCCCCCAGTGCCCCATCTTTCTGCCAACTGTATCATTTAAGACAGACTCTACTAGGGCCACCTTGTTTGTAACAGTAGGAGAGTCAGGAGAGGTAAAGGAAAGAGGGGTAGAGAATGTACAGAAACAGCCCTGGCTGGTGGGGCTCAGTGTATTAAGTGCCATCCTGAGAACTGAAAGGTCGCTGGTTCAATTCCCAGCCAGGGCACATGCTTGGGTTGTGGGCCAGGTCCCCAGTTGGGGATGTGTGAGAGGCATCCAATCTGTGTTTCTCTCGCACATCAATGTTTCTCTTCCTCTGTTTCTCTTTTCCTTCTCCTCTCTCTAAAAATAAATAAATAAAATCTTTTTAAAAAGAGAGAATGTACAGAAACAAGATCTGGACCTGAATCAAAAGGGAAAGATAAAGCGAAGCTAATGTTTTGAAAAATGAGAATCACAGGATTTTGAAAAACAATCAGAGTGGCCTAAAGTGTAGTGATAGTGTGCAGAAGAAATAGGATGGAGGGAAGATGCCAAGATGTAAGAATGAAAGAGGGAAATGGAGAAAATTATGAGATGGTGGTTACATGGAGTGATGATGTTTACACAAACAAGAAGCAAATAGGAGCCCTGGCTTGTATGACTCAGTGGACTGAGTGCTGGCCTGCAGACCAAGAGGTCATTGGTTCGATTCCCAGTCAGGGCACATGCCTGGATTGTGGGCCAGGTCCCTGGTAGGGGGCACATGAGAGACAACCACACATTGATATTTCTCTCCCCTCTCTTTCTCCCTCCCTTTCCCCCTCTCTAAAATAAATAAATAAGATATTTTTTAAAAAAAGAACCAAATATTCTATGCAGCAGAAAGAAGGAAGAAGCCCCTACCCTTTGCAACAGAATGGATGGAACTAGTTTTCAGGGGAAAAGGGGAAGGGTTTGCAGGAACAAGAATAAAGGACACATGGACAAAAACAAGGGGAGTGGAAACAGGAGGGCGGTGGGGATGGCTGGGGGGGTGGTCTGGAATGGAAGTAAAGGGCAGAAAACTGTACTTGAACAACAATTAAAATAAAAAAAGAAGCAAATAGGATAAAAGACTGTAGGGACCAAAGAGAGGTGAGTCCAAAGACTCCATGTAGGGTTTGGATATGATTTAAGGAAATAGCTTAGAAGTGAGTGGCATTAATGCCTTCAAGTTTATGAAGATTGATAACATGCTATGGAGAAAATTAACAAAGGGCTGATTTAGAATGTAAATCTATAAAAATGAATAAGGTCAACTTTGTAGAGTGGGACCATTGGCTTTAACTTTGATATCTGTAGAGAGTGTGAACATAATGATTTACTGGAATCTAGACTATCCCAAGACTCTATATGGGTAAGTGCTGGCATTTTACCTAAAGCATGCATTTTCCTAGAGAGAAGTTAATATAATATGATCACTGCATGTAAAAGGGAGATCACCTTTGTAATAGTGAATCCAGGTCATGCAGTCATCCTCTCTTAGTCCCACACAACTGCTGTGTTTGAGAAAAAAGTGTGCAAAATAGCCTAAGTCAGTAATGAGGCAAGTGTATAAAATCTAGAGGCAGTCAGATTTGGGACTTGCTCAGTGACGTTTAGATTTTATAGCTCCATACTTAATAGCTACAACACACATTTCATTATAGAAATTCTTGTAAGAAAAATCATACTGTGAGGTCAGTACTTTTTGGACCCTAACATACTTTTTGTCATTGAAACAGTTGTTTTCTTTTTTTTTTTAAGATTTTATTTATTTTTAGAGGGGAAGGGAGGGAGATA